TGTCAAAACTTCCCCCAAAGTCCACGAAATGGCATTTCAGAGACTCTAAATTTGAAAATTTCCTCGGGCCTTCGGCCCTCGCCACACCCTATCCAAAAGAATTTCCTACGGAACTGCACGCTTCTGTGCGGAACTGCACGCTTCTGTAATGTCTGTGCGTAAAATATGAGTATTTTTGTTTGTAAATTACGTTTTCATTTTCCGGATAGCAAACACCTTCGTGGCTTCGTATGCCATGAAATATTCGGAAATTTTTTTCGTCATTCGGAAATTTTTGGTTCTACCACCCCCAACTATGCACGCTTAGCTACGGCCGTGCTCATTTGACTTTAGTAAAGCATAGTGTCCCACACGATATATTGTTTAATAAAATCAAGAAAATACCCATTAATCCATATATCATAAACTGGATGATCGACTTTTTGAACAACCGCAGACAGAGAGTGAAAGTTGATGGTGTCACAACTGAATTTCTAGACATTAATCGTGGCGTACCCCAGGGTACTGTATTTGGGCCTATAATGTTTACTATAATGGTCAATGATATCAAGGCGGTGAGTCTCTTCAATGATCTATCCAAATTTGCTGATGATATTGCCATAATAGCACCAGTTTATGATTACGAAGATTCAGCTGGGGATGAAGTAGAAAACATGAAGCTATGGTCAAACGAGAATAGAATGTCTTGGAGAAAACCTATGAAATGATAGTTCGCGGAAAAGTGTCTACTCCCCTTCCGGATCACATCCCATCCATAAAACGGAAAGAATGGCTCAAATTATTGGGTGTCACGATGGAAGACATACCTGGTAAATGGGATAAACATTTCGAAGAGATGATGAAAAAAGCTAGTAACAGAATGTATATTCTAAGGGTTTGTAACACTACGGGCTCTCTACACATCAATTGGATCTTCTCTTCAATAGTCTTATAGTCTCTCTTTTCACCTTTGCAGTCGAAGTTTGGGGTGGAGCATCGTACAACAAATACGTAAGTCAAATTGATAAGTTTGTCAATCGTGCCTATAGAAATGGTTATACAAGGAACAGATCAGATTTTAAAGCAACAATATCGAACAGAGACAAGAAATTATGGTCAAGAATTATAAATGATGATAAGCATGCCTTACGCAATCTTTTACCTAGTAAATTAAATCGACCTTTACGACGGAGAGGTCATGAACTTGAACTACCAATTGTTAAAATTGAGAGGTTCAAAAACGCGTTTATAAATAGATGTCTTTTCAATTTTATATAAACTATACAGTATATCTATACTCTTAGGCCCGTTTCATACGCCGTACTTCACATGTGCCGAATACATTAAAGACAATAGATAATGAGCTGAAATGCCTCATTACCTATTGTTTTTAATGTATTCGGCACATGTGAAGTACGGCGTATGAAACGGGCCTTATACCTTAGAATTTTAAAGCACTAAAAATTGATGTAAATAACAGTAAGAATCTAATTTTTTATTCTAAATATGTAAACTCAGACGTTTCATTTGAGTAGCGAAATAAAGACTTTTATTATTATTATTATTATTAAAACCTCTCAATAGAACTCAATTCAATTCAATTCCCGGGCGGATACATGCAAACGGGAAAGTTTTCCCGGGCGGGCCCCCATTTTGTTACGAGCGTGGTCCTTAATATTAATATTTCCCGCGTTTTGGTTCGATTTCTCTCGCGACAAAGAATCAGTGTGAGTCAGTTACGTTTATATAACTATTTATTTCTTTAAAGCGTCTTTATAATACTTTATAATATAGCATTTGTAAATTCTGAACGCTGATTGGCTAAGAGCCGTGTTGATATAACTCAATGTCAACACGGGAAATTTTCCGCCACTTGTAAACACGGAAATTTTTCTTATCCTTCGGGCTTTTGACATTGCTATATTATAAAAAAATATAAAACATTTTTTCCGTGTTGATATATAGTTATATCAACACTCGTGGAAGTTGGGAAAACTCGAAATTGTATGAAAACACTCCGCCCTTCGGGCGTCGTGTTTCCATACAATTTCTCGTTTTCCCAATTCCACTCGTGTTGATATAACTGTATATCAACACGGAAAATGTTTTATATTTGTTAAATATCCAATTACTATATAATTAAAACTATATCAGTTCAACTTGTCTCTTTTCTGTCTGACTGAGCACAACTCTTTCGTCTTCTTCACGTAACGTCGCTTTTTAACTTCAATACTCTTTCGTATATAACTTGTAACAATCTTTCCTTAACAATCTTCTTTATAATAGCTTTTCCAAAATGATATTCACGTAAGGCGCTGAGGCCTATGAATAATGCAACTGAGGCCTATTGAATGAATCATGTAAGGCGCGAAGGCCTATCTATATATATATATAAGTTTGTTGTCCGGGAAAATTTTTTGCTCCCCCCCCCCTCGCCAACATTTTGGGGAAAATATGGTACCGTGGTAATTTTTTACCCAATGTAGTAATTTTATGCAGCCGGATGTGGTAATTGCCCCTGAAAAAACCTGGTCACACTGACTGGTGATTATCGCAATGGTCATTTGCCTCGTAAAGGCCTAGTAGATTTCACAAGTTCTCAAGTTAGGTCCATAACTTTGTGATCAGAAATTGATCAGAAATCAACAACTAAAGCAATTTATACTGTCCAGTAGTTATAAAAACATTTTATGACTAAACTAAGTTCTATTTTGTAGTAATATTTTGACTCATTTTGACCTTTCGCAACATAATAATAGTGTAGCTTCAAACTTTATGATAAAAACCCCGATTTTCTAGGCGTGTATACAAATAAAAATAGTACGTTTATACTAGAAATGAGTTTATTTTACCTGTATCGGTTTAAATTCGCTGTTAAGTTGCAAATAATTCTGTTTGAGAACGCAATAATTGGGCATTTCGCAACCAGGGCAGTTTCAAGGCAGTTTTGGCCTTGTTGTTGGGAAAACCACTAGACCTTTTATTTTTTCGCTTGCGTCATCCTTCGCCCCGCCCCCAAATCACCTAGTCCCAGTCTTTTCATGTGTAAAAGCGCTGAATATTAAAAAAATATATTAAAAATAGAAGGCCTAGGTCTAGGCTGGCCAATGGCGACTTTTTTGCTGTCTTTGTTTGCCTGACCCAATATAAGTTTAAAAACTGGATAAATGCATCCACAGGTCTATATTTGTTTTAAATATATAAATTGCAAACCCTGAACTTTATTTAAACTGTTGTTGCAGGGTTCGAAGTGGGGGCAACAGAAATGGCCATCTTCTAGTTGGCGCAAAAGTAGCAGCGTGAAAAAGGCTTGTTTTTACCAAATTGGCGAATTGCAGAGCTTTGTTGATGTTCTTCTGAATTATCTATGTTGTTAGGCATCTTTAATAAAACGTACAACATAAATAGCATTAAATATAAAACATACTTTTGCTCAACAGACAATATTATTTAATTTGGTTGAATGCATTAGCTATACTCCTATAGATAGCAAATCAACACACAATATCGACTTTTTTGTAATCTACAGACACAATATGTCATAATTTTGCGCAACAAATTCAGTAAAATTTTTTGAGAGAATATCATGCCATATTGATATAAAAATAGCCTATTCGATAGATTACAATCTTGTGATTACACATACTTTGACCTCAAAGTACAAAAATAGTTTATTTTTCGGTTGCAGGGTTAGTTTTGCCAGCGAGTTTCCAGAATAATTTGACAATAACAATTTCCGGTTAACAACATTCGTAATTCTGTCAAATTCAGTAAACATTTTTGGGCGAATAAGTTACCAAATTGATATAAAAAATGGCCTATTCGATAGATTACAATCTTGTGATTGCACATACTTTGACCACAAAGTACAAATTAAAATAGTTTATTTTTCGGTTGCAGGGTTTGCTTTGCCAGCGAGTTTCCAGAACAATATGACAATAACATGCAATTGCCGGTTAACAATTACATTCGTAATTCTGTCAATCAAGTTCAGTAACCATTTTTGGGCGAATAATTTACCAAGTTGATATTAAAAATAGCCTATTCGATAGACTACAATCTCGTGATTTCAAATGGCTTGATCGTCAAAGACAAAACAGGTTAAGTTTTTAATTACAGGGTTAGTTTTGGCAGTATTTTCTCGAAATAATTGCGCAGGCAACGCGATTTTACCGACAGCACGATACAAATTTCACATTTAGCATCACTATAAAATATAAATAATTAAAAATTTGATGTACCTACCTTTGCTAGTAGGCCTATACTCCACAACTACGACTACGATCCCAAAATTTAGATAATATGCTTTTTTATATATTTTGCATAAACTACACGCATTTGGCTTTGTTTTTATGCAAATTTAAAGACTGGTTACCCTGGTAACCAAGTAATTGCCGCGTGACAGGCACGTCACGGATGTCACAATTTGGGTTATCATATTTCTAGCTTACGTTTCCAGTCCCTGTCTGCTGGATTGTCTATGGCTAAAAAGAGAGCTTCTTTTCTAAAGAGCTTCGTTTAGCATAATGGCAGCACTTGCTTTGCAATAGCAACTTCTAGTTTACAAATTTATCTTGGCTAATAAAACTACTCTACAGCACCTTTTACCAACAGAGTTTTCATTAACATTTGAAAATATTGGGCAAGTTATTTCCGTGCGAGCAGTGACAACGAATAACGTTTACCACGTGATATCAAATCGGTTTTTGCGGGACGAGGGCGACTTGAATGCGCGAACTGATAACGAACGAAAATGTCTATAAGACTCCACCGTCCTATCTCTTACGAAGTCAGATAAACTCACCAAAGACAACGGTAAAAGCAGTCAAAATGTCGAAAAATAAAGCCTGCCTTGTGTTAGGAGTAATTTTAGAATTTAGTGGCCAAAAAAGTTTTCACATCTGTCGGCCTTGAAGAGATTATAAAACGTACGGGTCCTAGGCGAATCTCCTTCCTATGTTTACGGGTTGGAAAAAATATGCAAGAAGCGTTGCATGCGGCTAGAATCACTGGACAAAAGGCTTCCAATAATCAGAAAAGATAAAGAAGCATTGCTGTTATTATACAAAACAAACAGGCAAAACACTAGAAATCAAAGCTTTACCATACCCAAGTTGGAAGGCAAACAAAATTATCTCCGCCCGACAAAAACGACAAGATTAATGCCTTCTTTTCTTCTTCTGTCACTGCTTTAATTCACAGTTTCAATATAATGTAGAGCATTTCCAAGCGCTGACGAACAACTGAAAGAACTGCGGAAGTGTCAGATCTAGCCAGAGGTCTCTGTTTTCGCTTCCTTCTCTTCAAATTTCCAAACAAAGACCTCTGACAGCAGGGAAGTTAGTTATTTAGCAATGACCAATTAACTGAAGACCGTACAGTATAGTCTGAAACAAAAGCATCGACAACAACGACATGACTATTTCACATCATTTCATGTTCATGCATATAGTGCACTTGTATATAGTCAACTGTATATAGTCAATGACTTGTATATAGTCAACCTTGCACACGTAACAATATCGTTGCTCCTTCATAAAAGTTTTCTTTTAAACGTTTCCTTTGGCATCTGATATTGGTCGCGATATAGACAGTTCAAAATCACTTCTAACGGATAATACATTGACCTAAAATGAGCAATTGCTTTGAATTACAAAAGAACAAACTCATCTGGAATGGCGACTTAAGCGAATTAAAGTCCTACGTCGCAGAAAAGTTAAACATAAATGGTAAATGGAAATCACCGTCAGGTGGACGCTGGTTATTTACTAGCGATGCTTTGTCTATAACCTGGTATTGTAAAAGCAAAACTGTCTTATTTCAAGGTCCTCGTGGCAGCGAAGTGGCTGACTCTTTGAAGAAAAATATCGATGCATTGCGAATTGCAATAGTGAAAGATGCCGAGCTAATCATTGCTACCCCTGCTGTTTCCGAAAGACGGAATGAATCTATCGATAATCAGTGTAGTCTCAGTATTAACAATTCTAACTCGAACATGTTTGACAGATCTAGTAATACAACAACAACTATCAACCGAAGCGACTCGGATGCTAGCGAAGGAAAAGCAAATGAGCAAGAAATGTGTTCACACAAGCAGAACGAAGGCGATTATATAATGAATTGCAAAGACTGTAGTAAATTATCTGTAGAAGTAGCAGAAATTAAATTGGACTTGGCATTATTATTCCTAAAAGTTAATACTGCTGAAGCTCCCGCTACATGTGAATGCAATCGGCTACGAAACGAAAATCAGCTATTGAAACAAGAAATTAAATTACTCAAGGAAACACTGCACGGCAAGGAATTGTCAAAATCGCCAATTAACATTGCTATCGATAATATGAATAATCAACCAACCATCACTGACAATGACTCTGTTATACTAATTGATATAGAAGAATCTGAAGTTAACGTAAACACTAATATGAATAATTTACCATCTGCGACATACAAAGAGAAACAATATAATACCCGAGGGCCAGTTGTTAATGACTCTCTTATGAAATATAGAAATCCCAATAAACCAGTCGTGCAAGACTCCCTGACCTCATTCGACCATCTCCTAAAAGAAAAGGCCGCCTTAAACGCCAACATGCATCGTCATAAGAGGAATCAAGTGCATAATTCTCCAACTAACAGTACGCATTTCTCGAAACCTAATTACCGGCGCAATCAGGCCGCCTTAAACGCCAACATGGATCGTCATAGGAGGAATCCAATGCATAATTCCTCAACTAACAGAACGCATTTCTCGAAACCTAATTACCGGCGCAATCAGTTT